GTACTCAGATGTCGATTTCCTTTGTCCTGTTATCAAGTCCCAATTGGGACTGGAAGATCTTACTTTTAGTCTGGCCTGCAGAGATCTTAACTTATGAAGACTGTTGCTCTATCTCGTTTTATTTCGATGGTTGTGTTCCTACGCTTCCCCCCAGTCCGGCGATCTGGAAGTTCAGGCTAGTAGGCTGTAGTGTTTTTGTGCTCCGGTTATATTTGAATACTTTTTATTTGAAGACTCCATTTAGTTGTGCTGGTGTCTCGAATTACTCATCGAAGGTTGAGCTCAATCGTCATTTGGCTGGGGGTTCTTGGGTTGACATGGAGAGATCGTAATCCTGAAGAAAGGATTGCACCCCAATCTGAGATGAAGCCAACTCAAGACTAAGGCGAACGAAGCTAAGTCAGAAAAAGAACCACGACAAAAGAAGATGGGCTCAACTTAAGACTTCTGTGAAAGAAGCCAAGTCGAAACAAAAGCCACGACAAGAGAAGTCGGGCTCAATTCAAGACTTAGGTGAAAAGAAGCCAAGTCGAAACAAAAGCCATTGCAAAAGAAGCGTGGATCAAATTAAAAAGCCACGGTGAACGAAGCTAGACTCGGATAAAAAGGCCACTGCAAAAGAAGCGGAGCTCAAATTAAAAAGGAAAAGTGAACGAAGTCGGGCTCTTATAAAAAAGCCACTACAAAAGAAGTGGCGCCCAAATTATTCTTTTGGGGTGAATGGGTTGCTGGCCTTATGACCTTTTCCTTTAATCCGAGCTCTGAAATTGATTTGCTTTTGGGATTCTGGACCAGTAGTTGTTTGTCGAAATGCCTACTTATTTTGTACTTTACTTTTTGCTTATTTGGGGCCCTTTGAGCCCCTTTTGAATTTGTAATAGATATTGTCGGGTTTGTTCCTTGTCCTTTCTTTTTGTTCTGGTAGTTTGAATTCCCCTTGCATGTTTTGTTGAAGCTTGCGGAGTCAGATTCTTCGATGCTAGAGTTAACCTAGCTTCTCTTTCTATGGTTTTTGTTTTAACTTGACTTTTTTCGCTTGAAGTCTTGAGTTTGGCAAGGCGGTGTTTGCCTCTTTTTAATTTTGAGCTCAGATTCTCTCGCTGTGGTTTTTAATCTAACCTGGCTTCTTTTTAGAGGTAATTTTTGCCACTTTGAACTAGAGCCAGTCTTTGTTCGCAGTTACTTTTGTATTTGACTTGGCTTGTTTTGCCAAAATCTTAAGCTTGTGAAAGGCAGCCTTCTTGGCTTTGAACCCGGTGATGTTCACCAAGGGATTTTTATCTAAGCCTGTTTCTTTTGCAATGGCTTTTTAATTTGAGCCTCGCTTCATTCGCAGTGGCTTTTTTATCTGATTCTAGCTTCGTTCGCCATGGCTTTTCAATTTATCCCCACTTCTTTTGTAGTGGCTTTTCAATTTGAGCCTCGCTTTTTTGTAGTGCTTTTTTTTTTTTATCTAAACCTAACTTTGTTCTCCGTGGCTTTTTAATTTGAGCTTTCTTTCACAGTGGCTTTTCAATCTAAGCCTGATTTCGTTTGCTGTGGCTTTTTAATTTGAGCCATGCTTATTTTATAATGGCTTTTTTTTATCTAAGCTCGGCTTCATTGAGCCCCGCTTCTATCGCATTGGCTTTTTTATCTGAGCCTGGTTTTGTTTACCGTGATTTTTTAATTTGGGCCTCGCTTATTTTCCATTGCCTTTTTATCTGAGCCAGATTTCATTCTCCGTAGTTTTTTAATTTAAGCCCCGCTTCTTTTGCATTGGCTTTTTCATTCGTTTGTTGTTACGACGCTCATACAAAATTCATAATAACTAGAGAAAGTATAAAATATTCAATTAAAATCATAAAAGCTCAGGTGAACAGGTACCCTTATTGGAGGTCGAAAATAAATACTGATAATTTGAATGTTACTGGACCTCTGGCATGCAAATGCTGGTCGGTCAACTTTGTATATGCTGACCATCCGCCCGCTTGAATGCTGGTCGGCTGGGCGACATGAAGGTTGGCCATCATGCTTTGTATATTCTGGCCATCCGATCAATTTTCTTGTAGGAGCTATTTGGTTTTGTAGATCATGACTCTTCATGAAAAGCCTACCGAAAAATTCTTCATTAAATTTTGTGGTATCGTATCTATTAATATCAATACTTAGTGCTTACTTCTTTGTTGTTCAATATCAGCATCCCACAATATCACCGAAGCAGTTTAATAACTGTCCACCTTGATAGCTGCACTAATAATGTGTACTATTTCTTTAGAATAAGCTGAAGTATTCTTGCACAGGTGGCCACGAACTTTCCATTATTAGCGGTCAGATCGATATGTTTGTTGAAGTTTTCATGGGGCCCACATGTGTTTGTTAGAGAAGTGAAGAAAATGATATTTGCTGGTGGGATAGACTTCTAGGTTGTTAAATGTGTGAATTCTGAATATAGGCAAGCATCATTGAGAGCTTTGTAGCAGAGCATGTACCCCTCCTTGTACCTGATCACCAAGGTTCTGTCCTTTTGCAGAGATAATGGTGCTTATAGTTTCAGATAGTCATTTTGTTGCTATCTGCCTTTGTTTATAGTCGTCTGTGCCTTGAGAACACACGCCCATCATTAATTGGCAACTGCTTCAAGATCCCTCGGATATCTATACTGGCCATTGAAATCGTAATCGTTCATTTCATATTATGCTATCTGATTTCTCTAAGTGGTCTTGGGTTGGATTGTTACTCATGAATCGATCAGTTACTAGGTCTTGCCAAGGATTAGCTTCATTATTGCAACCATGACCAATTGCTACAACTGACCGCCCATGTCTTCAATATTATGAGGATAAACACTGGAGACTAAACCCATAATAATTAGGAATTAAGCATCATGGTTGATCGGTAAGTTCTGACCGAATGATTCATGCTTCTCCATGTTGTTTCAGCTCACTGAAATATTTGTGGCATGCTAGAGACTGTAGTTGTGTTCCATTGTGGTTGCCAACCCAGTGAACTCTTAATCTGACTAGGGTGATCCCTCATCAGTATATATATGTGGGCTGAAGTTGACTTATATCAATTGGAGCTCAGCTTCGTGTTTGAGATATTATATTTCTTGAGAAACTTTGAACTCCATATTCATTTATTGTGTCCAACAATAAGTTTATTAACCTTACGCCACGTTTGCATACCCTCGTTGAATCTCAAGGCTGTCATCATCCAGATGTCGTTGGCTTTGGCATGTTCATCCCCACTCCTCGAAAGTCGCATGGATTGTGCGTGCTGTTCATTTGGAGAATTGTGTGCTTCAGATTCTTGCGAAGAACAGATTGGCTGAGGCCTAATAGGTACAGGATCTTGCAAAGAACAAGTTTATGGAGGCCCAATAGGTATAGGTTAGTGAGAACCAAGTCGGTCAGGCCCAATACGTACCGGCAAGGTGCCAAGCTCTGCCGCGCGCTTGCCTTGGAAATCGAGGAGGTGAGTGGAAGGGTAGCAGACGGAGGTTTCACTGTGCATGAAGCCGTTGTCTTGTTGCAGAGAGAGAATGACGTTGCTGACGGGAGGCTCAATCACTAACGGGTTTGTGAACTTTATACTGTGATGACATGAGTCAAGGCCATCATCCGCCCTCTAAGGAAACATTCTTCGACGATCAAATAGGATGCCTACTGTTAGTAGCCACATCATTAACTTCTTGACGATGGTTGATGCTCTTGCTGTGCGAGTTAGTCATGTTTAAAAGGGAATCGAAGTTTATCGATTCCTACAGACGAAGCTGATCATGTGCGTCGAAATGTCCAATATGATTGTTGGTATATTTGTGTTGGATCTGAATGCCCTCACTTAGGCATCTACTAGTGAGATACCTTAGAGATGCGTAAGCAAGACGTGGGGTGTGTGCACAGTGACAGCTAACAGCTAAGAGAGAGGGTTAAAGAATGTGTTATTGATTGACTTGACTTTTTATTTATAGATGGATTACCTGACAAGAGTAGACTTTTGGGTCTGTTAGGAATATTAGAGATCTAGTTCTTGATTCATTAATGTCACACTAAGATTAGTATAATTAAGGAATCTTTTCTTAATTTCTCTCTTATTTGTTTGTCCTTTTTGAACGTTCTGTAATATGAGTCTTTATACGAGGTCCATATCACAAATTTTATCTTTTATCCTAATAACAAATCATTTCAACAACTCTTTTAGAGTAACTTTATATAATTACCAACCATGTGCCATACTCTAATCTTCTACATGTTACAAACTGGCCGCTGATGGTTCCCCTGAGCTTAGTTTGGGTACTTTGATAGTTGTGGAGGTATACATAAAATGACCACCACTTGTGGCACTGTTTGTGGGGTCTATTCCTTAAAATTTCACTGCCCTTTGGCAAGCTAAGTTTATAGAAGTTCTTGACTTTGCTTGTATTTTCACCCTTTTGTGTTAGTTAAGTTAGGTATTTCCCCAATCATGATGAGTTCTACACATATCAAGTTGATATTTATTGTCTGTAGGGGTCATGCCTAAGTCAATACTCCTTGTCAAAATCCTGAAACTTAAAAGAGTTAATTTATATTTTTAACGTGCATAACTTCTTTTGCCACTCTGGACAAAAGGCTGTGAATTTGATTGCGGTTTCCTCTTTAGTTCTTTGTTTCTTTTTCTTGTTCTGCTTCCTTATCCCTTCCCATTTCTTTTTTATTTTCTCTTTAAAAGTTGTATATTTGTTCAATCCCCACAACTAGTGTATATTTGTTGTTTCAATTGGTTGATATGTACCAAAAAAAAATAAAAAACTCAGTAAACTCCACTTCAACATTGACTATTTGTTATTCAGCAAGCCTTTTCTCTTTTAATATCTAGCAGAAAAACTCCACATCAAAATTAACTAAAATTTCAATAAAAAGAATAAAGGCATGTGGAAAGTATAAGAAAAATTGCAAATTCGCAACCACAAAACAGTGATGCTGGTTAACAATTCATCACTAGATCTAGTATCTGGTTCGAGCTCCTTTCAACTTGAATTAATAATTATCAGTAAGACACGGGACATTCGGAATACACGAAGAGCATACCCCCTTTGCATTTTTGCAGGATGCACAAGTTTCCTCTCCAGAAAGAGAAGTTATGTTAATTCTCTCCAATAGAATGTTGGTGCAGCCTATGGTTTTGTCACAATGCAGTTTGATTGCATGCTCACCACTTGAGGTTCCCCTTACGTTGCGGTAAGTAACATCACTCACTCTCACTGCATTTACACTATCATAAGGGTTGTATTGCTGGTCAATAATCACAGGGTTCTTAGCTGCAATAAGTATAATATCCTCAAAAGTGATCCTCCTCGCATACCCTCGTCCTCCCTGGTTTAAAGAACACAAAACATGAAGAGGATTTAGATTTTATATTTGGGTTCATCCACAGCAAACATCAATTAATTTGGTATAAGAGTGACACGTTATTATTATTTATTTATTTTTGGTATACTGAAGCTAATTATTTCTTTGAGGCGAGTCAATCCCTCAGCTATCCCAATAAGTTTCAACTTTTTGAATTGTCTACTAGACAAATCCTGAATCCAACTTACAAATTTATCAAATGTTCAAATATTTCAACTTAATTGAGTTCCCCCCCCCCCACAAGATTCGGATTGTAATAAAATTAAAGGAGCAGATAAAATAAATATATATAAGTGGATTAGTTTTTTCAATTTAGAAGTACTGAAGGTATTTTCTTATGATGGTAGCACATCCAAACCAACAAATTTAATTCTTACCATCCATGTCTTGATTCTGGCTCCATTTGTTGTTCCACTGAAGGTGCAATTTCGCACATAAATCTCTTCCACTGTGTGATAAGCTCCATTTTGTCCTAGGCTTCCAACACTAGATTCACCAACACATTCCAGAGGAAGTTTCAGTATTGACCAAATAACTTACTGTGGAAAGAGAAATTTACTTGAACTGACCTTATGCCATGGCCAGGTCCACAAAAGACATCAATTATACTGATGAAGGTAGAACCGTGATTAATGGCAACGCAATCATCACCTTTAATAAATAATAAGTAAAAGACCTTAAATCACCATATACTGATTCCATTTTTAATTTTTTGATCAACATATGTAATAAATATGATGGGGTAGTATCGGAAAGAGAAACTTTTATTTTATTTTTTAAGAGTGTACGTAACTCTTGAAAAAAAATGCCGAAAGCAGTGACAGTGAATTATCTCATATTTTGTTTCAAGGAAAAATATTTTCTCGTCTTGTGAGATAATTATTATTTTTCTACCGGTGACTTTTTAATTTTCGTGTAACATTTGTTTTAATAAATATGGGCTCCATACAAAATGTGTTTATAACATGAGAAAATTTTCTCGTACTGTATGAGAAAATGAATATCCTTTATTATAATATAATTATATAAAATGAAAATCTCAGTCATTTATTTATAAATAATCATATGTTTTTCTTTGTTTTATAATTTTTGTCACTACGACAATTATCAACGACTGAAATTTTTCGCATAACATGACAATATTAAAATAAAGGGAAAGTCATTAATCATTTTAAAAGACACAACTTTATATTATTCTAAATGAAACGACTCTATTGTGATATTTTTTTATTGGTTTTTTACCTTCTCTATTCTTCACAAAATTAGGACGAAAGAGAAATAAAAATTATTGTAGAGGAGAAAAAACGTAAAAAACCAATAAATATCCACCAAAAAGGTCGTTTCACTTTAAATGATACAAAATTGTGTATTTTGAAATGAAAAATATTTTTCTATAGAATAAAACGTAAAAGGATTGGTTCTGTTAGCTATAAAATAAGAGGATACTCCATATATAATTGAATATTCACATTGTATTCATTGATTGTTGAAAGAGAATACACTCAGGCTGTATAACCAGAAGAAAGATGAAAAACGTGCACACCTCACAGGTGGTGCCTAACAGAATACATTATCACAGGTGTTGCCTAACAGAATGCACACCTCATCATATCAGTAAAAGTGTGTTGCCTAACAGAATGCACACCTCACCATATCAGTAAAAGAAGGAAAAATACAAAGGTAAAAGTAAAAGATGGAAAAATACAAAATAACAAAAACATATTCTAATATGCCCCCTCAAGATGGAGAGTATATGTTTAAGACTCCCATCTTGGACAGTAGCACTGAAAGCTTTGATGGCAGTAAGGTTTGGTGAAAAGATTAGCCAATTGCTTGGAAGAAGGAACAGGAAAAGTCTTCAAGTGTCCTTTGAGAATGTGTTCACGAACAAGGTGACAGTCAATCTCAATGTGTTTGGTGTGTTCATGGAACACAGGATTGGCTGCCAAATGCAAGGTAGACTGATTATCGCAAAAAAGATGAGCAGGTTCTGGATGCAATATTTTGAGATTAGTAAATAAAGAAAACAACCGTAACAATTCACAAGTGACATGAGCCATGGAGCGGTATTCAGTCTCAGTAGAAGATCTGGACACAGTTGTCTACTTTTTAGACTTCCAAGATATCAGAGAATCACCAATAAACACACAGAAACCAGAAATGGAACGCCTACTGTCAGGACAAGCAGCTCAGTTAGAATCACAAAATGCATTGAGCTGAAGAGAAGCAGAAGAAGAAAAAAGTAAGCCTTGTCCAACAGTGTGCTTCACATATCTAAGGAGACGATGAGCAGCCTAAAGATGAGGCTCTCTAGGAGCTGCCAGAAATTGGCTAAGGTGATTAACGGCATATGAAAGATCAGGCCTAGTGATAGTAAGATAAAGTAGGCATCCAATGAGACGTCTGTACAGTGATGGATCAAAAATGAGATCACCAGAATGAGAGGAAAGCTTGAGACCAACATCAATAGGAGTAGTTCGTGGTTTGCATCCTAAATGACCAGAATCTTTGAGAGTTTCTAAGGCACAGTGTCTTTGGCAAACTGAAATTCCTTTTGCAGTGTGTGCCACCTCAAGGCCCAGAAAATATTTCAAAAGACCAAGGTTCTTCAATTTAAATTTACTGTGTAGCAGTTGAGTAAGAAGATGAGCCTCTTGAGAATTATTAGAGGCTATAATAACATCATCCACATAAACTAAAACAACAATGAAGATAGTGGATGGAGTTCGAACAAATAAAGACTAATCAGAATGAGATTGAAAAAATCCAAGATGTAATAATATTGAAGAGAATTTTGCAAACCATTGTCGTGAAGCTTGACGAAGACCATAGAGTGATTTGTGAAGACGACAACAACATTGGGAGGAAGATTGGAGAATTGAGAAAAAAATCCAGGGGGAAGATGCATGTACACTTCCTCAAGCAATTCCCCATGAAGGAATGCATTATTGACGTCAAGCTGAGTGAGGGACCAATTGTGAACAACAACTAAGGCAAGAATCACCCTCATAGTTGTTATCTTCGCTATAGGGGAGAAGGTTTCTAAAAAAATCAATACCCTCTTGTTGTGTGAAACCTTTAGCAACCAAACGAACTTTATACCGTTCAAGTGAGCCATCTGAATTGTACTTGACTTTATAGACCCACCTGCAACCAACAGCTTGCTTGCCTGGAGGAAGAGAGACAATTGACCATGTGTTATTGAGTGCAAAGGCTAAAAGTTCAATAGCCATGGCATCCTGCCATTCCGGTAACTGAGAAGCTTGGGAGTAAGTTGTAGGCTCAAAATGAGAACATAATGAGTTGACAAATGCAAAATGTGAAGGAGAAATTCTGTCATAGGAAATGGAATTAGATAAGGGATGATTGGTAAAGAATGAGCAAATATAATCATGAAGATGGGCAGGAGGGAGTCTAGTTCTTTGAGGTCTTAAGGCAGTAGAAGAGGAGGGAAAAGTTTAGTAGGGATGGAGTGGTAAACAAAGGGGGTGGGTTGGATAGTTCAATATGGAAAGATTAGGAAGGCTGATTGCAGGTAAAAGGAAATATTTCTTCAAAAAATATAACATCTCTAGATATAAAGGTTTTGTTAGATTGCAAATCAAGTAGCTTGTAACCTTTAAAACCCGGAGGATATCCAAGAAACACTGCAGGTAAGGCCCGAGGGGAAAATTTGTGTCGAGTTTTTGGTAGAGTTGAGCTATAGCAAAGACAGCCAAAATCTCGAAGATGTGTATAAGAGGGAGGCTTATGACAAAGTAATTCAAAGGGAGTTTTGGAATGAAGAAGAGGAGAAGGTGTTCTGTTAATGAGATAAACGGCTGTGAGGACACAGTCCTGCCAATATTGAAGAGGAACTTTGGATTGAAAATGAAGAGCTCTGGCTATGTTAAGTAGGTGCTGGTGCTTTCTTTCAACAACAAAGTTCTGCTGGGGATGATCTACACAAGAATGGAAAATCTGAATTTCCTTAGTAGAGAAAAAGGAAGACAAATTGAATACTGGAGCATTGTCGCAGTGGAGTGATTTAATTGAGACCTTGAACCGAGTAAATATAAGAGAGAAGAAATCATGAAAAATAGTCGAGAAATCAGACTTATTTCGTAAAAATAAGTCTAGGTAAATCTGGTTGAGTCATCAACCAAGGTGAGAAAATAACGGGAGCCTTCAACAGAGAGTGTGTGGAAGGGTCCCCAAATGTCACAATGGACAAGGTCAAAAGGAGCAGCAGAGCGTTTAGGGTCTAAAATAAAAGGAAGGCATCTTTGTTTCGCCAAAGGACACACAGAGCAATGATGAGCAATATGCAAACAATCAACAGAGAAACCCAATATATTTTTCATAGAATTTAAAACTGAAGGCGAAAGATGTCCTAAACGGGAATACCACAGAACAACATCTTTAACAGAAATGGATAAACAAAGGGGATGTGGAACATTGTCATTGGGAAAAGATTGGTGCTATCTAAAATATAAAGGTCACCACGAAGCTTAGCAATCCCAATCATCCTTGCCGAAACACGGTCCTGAAGAAAACAATGAGAAGAAGAGAAGTTAGCAACGACAGAGGAATCACGGGTCAGGGCACTGATTGACAAAAGATTGAAGAAAAAGGACGGAACATGTAAAACATTACGAAGGAGAAGTGAATCAGAAATCAAAACTGAACCAATAGAGGAAACAAAAACAAAAGAACCATTAGGGAGGGTGACCAGGGAATTAGTTTGAGATGAAGACTGAAAGAGGGTAAGCTGAATACAAACATGGTGCGTAGCACTAGTATCCGAAATCCAGCAAGAAGGAGGAAGAGATAAAGGAGACTTACTATTAAAACTTGCTACCGAAGGAGGAGACTCAACAACGGAAGAAACAGCGGACGGAGAAGACGATGCAAAACTCTGTTGTAGAAGCGGTAGCAATTGGTTGTATTGAGTTGGTGTGAAGGCAAGGGGAGAATCAGATGAAGAGAAATTAGGGTTCGGTAATTGGGTGGATGAGGGGAAATGAGTTGATTGAGGAGAGGCTGAATGAAAAGAATGGGCCTGAGCTGGTATGTGGGCTTGAGTAGGAAAGGAATTGGGCCTAGGTGGTCTGGGTTTGTAACAAGGAGGGTATCCGTTCAGCTTGAAGCATTTCTCACGAGTATGTCCAGAAAAGTGGCAATATGTGCAAACGGGACGGGTACGACGTTGGATTGCAGTCACCGTGGGTGGGGAAGAAACAAATGGCGGAGATGAGCAAGGAGATGTGGTTACAGAATTCAAAAGAGGGGAATCCGGAATAGCAGGACTAGGCAAAGAAACACACAATTTTCGTTGACGCTCTTCTTGGAGTATCATGGAGAATACCTTAGCAAGCGGTGGTAGCGGGTTGATCAGTAAACTCTGATCACGTGAAGAGAAGTACGAATCATTGAGTCCAATAAGAAATTGGAGAACATGATCCTGGTCCCTATAGGTGTTTATATGCCGAAGAGCACCACATGTGCATACAGGAAGGGGAACGTAGTCCAGCAGTTCATCCCAAAGGGATTTCAGCTTTGTGTAATAACCATTAACATCCAAGGAACCTTGACAGAAGGATGAAATTTGTTGTTTGAGCTGAAATATTCTATGACCATTGGCTTGAGAATATCTGGTTTTCAAATCGGACCAAACTTCATAAGCATTGGAGAAATACAGCAAGCTATCAGCAATGTCTTTTGTAACAGAATTCAAAATCCATGAAATAACCATGGAATTACAACGATTCCAAGTAGAGAACAAGAGATCAGTGGAAGTAGGACGAAGTAGAGAGCCATCAACAAACACCAATTTGTTCTTGGCGGTCAGGGAAAGTAGCATCGCACGATGCCATGAATTAAAATTGGAACCGGAAAGAGAATGGGAGACCAAAACCAGACCAGGATGATCACTGCTCTGCAAAAAATAGGGACTCGAGGAATCATCCATGGAGACGGACGGTCCTGAAGTTCCAGAAGTTCAGTTGGGGGTGGGCGATTGTTGCCATGAGCCATAGAAGATGAAGAATTAAAAGAAAACTACTGATACCATGTTAGCTGTAAAATAAGAAGATACTCCACAGATAACTGAATATTCACATTGTATTCGTTGATTGTTGAAAGAGAATACACTCAGGCTATACAACCATAAGAAAGATGAAAAACGTGCACACCTCGCAGGTGGTGCCTAACAGAATACATGCATCACAGGTGTTGCCTAACAGAATGCACACCTCACCATATAAGTAAAAGTGTGTTCTGATGTTCGTACAACAGTATCTACAACCCCTTTGCGGGCTCCATAGCAAGAAATTATATATTCTGTTAAAGAAATTCCTTCACGTAAATTGCTTTGGATGAGTAAATCTATCATTTGTCCTTGTGGATTCGATATTAACCCTCGCATACCTACTAATTGGTGTACTTGATATGCATTTCCTCTACCTCACCATATCAGTAAAAGAAGGAAAAATACAAAGGTAAAAGTAAAAGAAGAAAAAACACAAAATAATAAAAACATATTCTAATAGGTTACCACACATTTGCTTCGTTTATTCTTCTCCCTACCGAGTGGAGTATATAACAAAATTTCAAACTTCTGGTATGTCGTTGGAAGTCTTAAGGATAAGAAAGAGGAATTATTGAATTGAAGACTCTATATGAGGCTATTATGAGTTACCAGTTTCCATCTTAGAATTCTTGATGACAACGTTGGATGATTTTGAGATATCAATCCCATCGGTGTTTGGGCTATCAGCTGGAGCAGTAATATGAAGTTTGGAAATGACTACGCCATTGCACGCATTTAAGCTTATATGATTTCTCGGGCTGTTGATGTGGGTCAATCCGCTAAGGACTAGTTTTTCACAGTCATGGAAATGTAGAGCCTGCACATGTTATCAAACAATTACATACTTAATTCTAATAACATTTGAATCAGAATCTCAAAATTGAAATATTCAGCGTGTGCATGACATTATTCTAGAAATACTTTTTTTCCTTTTTTCAGTCTATGGAACATAAATGGATAAAAATAATGTTTGATAAAATCAATTTTTTTTTCTATTTAAGAGAACGAACCGATTGTTAGGAAACACAAATTGGTAGAAGTAAAAAATAATTTTTATCTCTAATATACTATTTATTAAATACAAAAATCGTAAAACCTGTTATCTGTATTGAAATTTTATTTATTAAATACGCCCTCTTTATTCGAATATTGAAATAAGTTGAGTTATTAAATACACTTTTTTTACCCCGAAACTCCAAGTACAGATTTTATTTTTATTTTTTCTTTAAAACAATGCCAGTCATGAACACAATGTGTGATATATCAAGTACTTTTTTGTTTGTAATTGAACTTACGGTTGGCCTGTCACAGTTACTGTTGGAATAGCAATTCCACCACGCAGCACCTTGGCCATCAATTTGTCCTCCTCCATTGATAACAAGGCCACTTATGGCTGAGAACTGGATCCATGTGTCTCTATCATTTTTTGGCCATTTCCAAGCCTCAACTCTTTTTGGAGCAATTATAGCTCCCTCAAGCTGCCAAACCAAACAATGCACTGAATATTGTAGTCAACTGAAATAAATAAATGACATCAACTGTTAAGATTAAAAGCGTAATTTATATATTATCCAAAAAAAAATGTGTAAAAATGTAAAATAAACTTAACTATATATATATATATATATATATATATATATATATATATATATATATATGATTATATTATATATAGATTATGTTGTAGGAAAATAGTTGTCTCATATTATAGAAATAGAATTATAAGTGGGACCCACATGTAAGAGGAGAAAAAAAATAGATGTGGGACCCACCTCCATTTTGTGAGTGTAGAAAACTAATTTATCTTATACAACATAAGAAAGTATAACCTCTATATATATATATATATATATATATATATATATATATATATATATATATATATATATATATATATAGAGAGAGAGAGAGAGAGAGAGAGAGAGAGAGAGAGAGAGAGAGAGAGAGAGAGATTGATTCGAGGAATAATTTGACTTGATATAACAATAAAAAGTCTAACTCCATATTTCAACCGTTGATATCCATGTATCTAATCATTGTAATTATTCGGATTAATAATTACTTAATGAGTATAATTCAATAAATTACAATCGTCAAATATACAGAGATCAATGATTGAGATGGAAAGTAAGACTTCTTATTCTCACACGGAAGTCAAAAGATCAATCCAGTGTTTTAAAACTCGGACCAGTCATCGACTCGATCGAGGTACTGGGTCACTGATTCAACTGAATATACTGTTCGTATATTAAAATATATATAAATATATTACTTATATTAAAATTTCCCAGAAGAAATTATATAATTCTATAATAGGTTAACCTTATCGAGTGAAGCTAACTTCAGGACAGCAATTATGCAGGAAGACAATTAATACTGGGCAGATAGCTAATTTGCCAGAACTGGATTATTAAATTTTTAGCAGGCCACAAATTTATTCCACTCTAGTCACGATGAAATATGCAAATGGTGCACTTGTAAGACAAAAATGAGATAGACTTGTTAGCTTGAATTATAGGTCAGTCAACAAAATGCAAAAATCCATATGACAGACTGGTCCAATCATACAGGATGATACTTCAAGAGCACTAAAACCAGATAGAGAGGTTGAATAAAATGTTGCAGCAAGTCTGTTATTTCCATACAACATGAATGTTGTAGAAGAATATTCGGAAAAATCCTCAGTACATGCAGTTTTTTTCCTAAGAAGACACTTCCCGAGTCTCAAGTGATTTTAAGAATGATAAGACTACCACTACCAGTCATCATTTTGCTATGCTATCCACTGAAGTATTCAGGTAACTAAAATATGCCTTTTACGAATTTTATGAAGTATTCAGGATCATAGTGGTCACTGGTCAGGTCCAGCTCTAAGTGAAGGAATCATGCCAGTTTTCCTACCATAGGCAAAGATGCCACCAGCCTCAATCAAAGGACCAGTTTTCCTCTGCAAGTCGAGCAACAATCGAACGGCGAGCAACAAAACGCGAAGGCAAAGAGTGATTTAGCCATTTAGGTTTTTTAGGGTGACACATGACGACGTTTGTCTGTGTTTTTTTTTTTTTTTTTTTTAATAAGCAAGAAGTCACACAAATCGGTTCCGATAACTCGCCGGTAAAGACCCGGTTAATCAGGCCTGTCCAAACCGATTTTTAAACTCTTAATCTTGTCTTTTAATTCTATTTATATCTAAGGGCTTTAATTTTTTAGTAACGTTAGCCATTGGATACAAGTGGATCAACAGTCAAGATTGAGTGTAAAATTTCTAATTCTTACCCCGATATAAGAATATCTTACCCTATATATATATATATATATATATATATATATATATATATATATATATATATATCACATGTTATAGTTATATGGGTAAAAATATAAAAGTGTTACACTCATTTTTGGCGGGTGATTCATTTATATCCAACGACTTAGATAATTGAAAAATTAGAGTCATTAAATATAAAGGAAATTAACGACTAAGATTGGAAGTACGAATTACACTAATATAAAATCATCCTACCATATATATATATATATATATATATATATATACATATATATACATATATACATATATATGTAGGGAAATGATCATTTGACTCCAGAGTAAGACTTATAAGTCTTACTCCTCATCTCAGCTTTTGATTTCCGTCTATCCAACGGTTATAATTTAGGAAGTCAAATTAATTAATTAATTATTAATTACTTTACAAATGACAACCATTGATTTCCGTTCATCAAGGGTTAAGACGAGGAGTAAGACTTAAAAGTCTTACTCTGGAGTCAAAAGAACCCTCCCCATATATATATAGTTTACCTTAATGTTAATGGTTGCAGGATTGCAAGGACCCCGGAACGACACGGGCTGCAACATGAATGTTTTCCTTTTGGGTATGAGAAGTGTCGTAGTATCTTCAGTAGCCCCACACGCCTCTTGCCATGCTTTCACAAAAGCCTTTACAAGTTGTCAATAGTTTAAAAAAGTATTAGATAGGAGAAATTTTAATTTTTGACACCCACATATATGGACTGATTACGTGAGAACATGGGAGGTTATATGAGTTAATATCAATCATTTAATCTTATACGAATGTTTATGATTATTTTTTTTCTCACTTTTTATATATATATATATATATGTGTGTGTGTGTACATGTGTGTGTGTGAGAGAGAGAGACTATTTGACATCTTATAAAGGCCTTTCAGAAAGCACAGCAAGATGAGTGCGGTGTTTAAGTCATGGCACCTACACATTTCTCGTACCCAATCTAGCCCAGAGGTTTCACAGAAACCTTTTACAAGTTGCCAAATAATTTAAAACGATATTAGATGTGACAAACTTCAGTTTTTTTCTCTCACATATACACAACACAGAATTTGGAAACACACACGCATATGGGATGATTAACCTTCTCATTATTATGTGTAAAAAATTAAAGTTAACAACTTCGGTATTTTGTTTTGGACAAAGATTCTTGCGAATTTCTTTTAATATATATATATATATATATATATATATATATATATATATATATATATATATATATATATATATATATTCTCTATCTTTATTAATATAAGATTCTATTTTTCTCTTTTATTTTCATTAAATAAATAAAAGTGTAAATGATTAAGTTGTCAAATAGTATAGGTTTTGACTCCTCTAAAATTAGTTTAAATTATAAAATATGGTGAAATAATCCTGTGCCAATTTAGTTTAGGATTCCAACCCGGTATGGGAAAGGGAGTAAAATGCTAATCACTAATAAGCCATATCAATTAATTGTATGTTATATTATTTTTGTTTATATATTTATTACATATCTTTATATAAATTCAATTCAATATCGACTCAGGACCTCCACTGAGTTAATGATGGGTCCAAGTTTAAAAACATTGGATATAACCGCTAATTGTTGTGACAAAATATATACGAATATATAACAAACCATAAAGTCGCTAAAATTTAGCTAAAGTTCATAATTTATTTTATGGGAGCCAAATTAATAAGTTTTAATTTTTTAGACACTCAAACAAGTCATATAAAAAGCTCTAAATAAATAATAATTAAACTGGTATACATCAAAACAATGAAATGAAAGTTTAAACAACAATAGCGTTTCCAGAATGCATGTCTTTAAGCATCAACTAAAAGCCAGAAAAAAGGAGAGAAAAATAACCTAATGAGATATCACAATTAATTTTAATTGTAGCACGAAAAACAATGAAGAGTCATGAAAGGAATAGAGGATTGAATCAAGAATTTTAGCGAAAAAAATGAGGAGGGAGTAATATAGATAAAATGGGAATGTGAATATTTCAATAAAAAGTGTAGTGCGAATAAATAAATATTAAAATAAATTAAAATTTAATTCCAACAAAACTTATTTGTGAGAGTAATTTAGAATATTACGATATAAAGAATGATTATGAGAAATGTTATACTTACAATCTATTTCTGTTTACAACTTTTTACAATCATATCTTAACTGTTAATTTTCACCAATCAATGGTTATCATTTACTGTAAATTAATAATTAATTAATAAATTTAATTTGCGGAAATAATAACCGTCGATTGACGAAAATCAATAGTTAAAATATGGTTGTAAACAAAAAAAAAAGGTTGCAAATATAACCTTCCACATAAACTATTAGTGAAAAATGTGAATAGAATTGTCTATAATCTTATACTATATGTGTGTGCGTGTGGGAGTGGGGGTGGAGGCATAAAAAATAAAACTGCTAACCGTACTTGGGAATCATCAGTTTGGCCATTCCCCATGGCACCATAGTCAACAACATTGAAGCTAGGACTTGTATTTCTCGTTATTCTAGCACTCAGGCATGGTGAAGCAACAACAAACACTACAAAGACAATTAATAGAAGTTTCATCTGTGAGATTAAAGAAAAAGGAAATTGACCCTATAACTAGGTAATAGAAGGTAAGTGTGACGTACGTGAAGAGTGGTGAAAGCATGTCATTTATACATAGAAATACCACCAATGGAGGAAATTGTAACCAAAAAAGGGCATTGATTACCATCTTCAGGACGAATGAGAGATTCAAGCACAAAAACAAAAATAATGGAAGGAAGTTACCTTTTTACTTTGCTAAGTTTGAATCTGTTGGAAGGATGTGACAAGTAATATATTCACAAATTGTCAAATTTTACATTAAAAAGACTAATTAAATTGGATTTAAGAGAGACTTCCTTCCCAAGATTTGCTTTTTACAATACCGTAAAGACATATTGTAACGCATTTCATATTTGATATGCATTTGAAAAACTATATTTTGCTTTTGCTTGAAGTAGTTGCCAAATGAACATTACAACAACTAAGTTAATAAATAAATACAATTTGGAGGAATAAAGTATATCAAAAGAAGCTGGCAAAAACCCCGAATAAGTTCAATTGAAATTTTAAAAGAGAAAGGTTTTTATGTATTTGAAAAGTTGTTTTCTTAAATATATATACAGCTCATTTAGGGTTAAGGATCACCATTGTCTCAACTATAAATATTTTTCTAGAATAAGTAGTGCTATTGAGTTGGCAAATTGTAATATGATTAGGTCCACGTATACCACAAAATAAAATGTAAGAATTGTAATTGTCTCTCCACTTTCCTCGCCATGTTAGGACTTAATATCTCATGAGCTTCCGTTAAATTACCTTTGAAAGTTTAGGTATTGTTCTGTCTTAGAGACAGATGTCCAGCCCAATAGACTGGTATATTAATCTTAGATCTAGTGTCCTCTTCAATATATGGAAGAGATACCCTTGAGCCAAGTAGATCACTGTGCACAGAATACTATTAACGGCGTTAGCAATGAGGTGTGTGTGTGCACAGTGACAGCATAACAGTAAGAGAGAGCCTAACGTACCTTTAGGGTTTATCTTGTATTTATAGAGGTTACCTGTGGATAGTGTGGATGGGCCTTTGGTACCTCTGATAGGGGCCTAGGCCTACTTGTCATTCTGTCGTATTAGGATTAGTATCATCGATGGATATCTATCCATGATTATATTAGATTTACATCTTAGTAGCCCCTTATTGGGCCAGTCATTCTACGGGCCCTTTATACGGGTCCATAACAGTTGCCCCTCAGCCAGGCTACCTGATTATCCGGGTTGCCGGGGTGAATTTGCTTGTGCGTCTACTCAAGTTTCTCGCTAGGCTGAGTGTTGAGTTTTTGTAAACTCTTTGCATGCGTATTCCTTGATCTGGGTGCTTTTAAACTGGGGTCCTCATTACCCCTTATCTCGGCGGGTTAAGCATGAACCCAGGAAAACGTTTCTTGTATCCCTGTATCGAGTTTGGGATGTGTTTGGGCAGTTGGGATCCAACTGGCGAGTTTCCCCCGAACATCACACCTTACGCACACATCTTGAATTTTCTTTTGGAACTGGGAATGTTTTTTCCTAGCTGGTTACATGGATGGGTTATGCATGAACCCGACGAGATACTCTGCATAGGTAACCGGGTAACGATTGTGCTTGAGTAGTTGGGATCCAACTGGCGAGTTTCCCCCAAGCATCAGATGTTTAACTCGGTTGAGAGTTGTATATTCATGTCTTCAGTCCCATTTGTGGGTTTATGAGTGGTACTTATTTCATTCTGACACGTGCTACTGGTCGCGTGCCTTTGTTAGTATATGGATGTCCTAGAGACAATCTTTTGATTAGATTAGGACATATGTAGACCTTTTATATTGTTGCAAATAAAAGCACTATTTATCCTGTTTCATATTTTGTCTCAATATTACTATTAATATTAATATGAGTAACTGGATAAACCCCTTGGAATAAAATAGGTATCTCTTGAGTATCTGTGATGAGATCACGATAATGAGGATTCAAGGATACTGCATGTTTATTCCTAATTTTATGTTCCTAGTCTAGAGACACTGAGAATGGGGATCAGTGATCTCGGGTAAGACTAGCACGACTTATCTACTTGTATTTGGATGCGAGGTAAAGACCTCATGAGCTACAGATATGGAGATGTCTTAGCTAAAGTGGTGGGTGGACCTATAAGGGTATAGCTCGCACTGAACAGACCCACACAGAGACTCTCTGAGGAACTCTCACAGAGAGTGACATTAGAGTAGTCTCTTTATATTTGGGTATGTCTTTCCTAAGACCAGAAGTTATTACCTAGACTGTGTTCTAGAAGGCATGCTTTGATTGTGCACCTCATCTGCCTGAAACATGGAGACTCATAGGTATACTGTTGGGCTTGTCCTGAAAGAACACAGGGCTAGGGTGATAAGCTGAAGGAATTCGTCAAATCTCTGTGAGAGATTAGGTTATCTGTAAACCGGAGAAATCGGGATGACATTTACAGGGACTCGGGAATCTATGGATAGTAAAAGAGATCATGAGATGATCTGCCTTTAGAGTCTGTAAATTGAAGATTCCCTATTTCGAATAAAGCTTACCCTAAACCGCAGGGGTTCATACGCTTCCTTACCCTAGGTTTTATGGGAAGGTAACCGAGACGAAAGGAAATATATACGGCAACCAAATATGTGTAATAGGATGATCAAGTCATTAATCTAACTAGTTCTGGGGCAACAAAGCATTGCTAGTGCTCTGTGTTGTCATTAGATGGGTTGTGGGCTTATTGGGCCCAAGCCCATTTATGTCAGTGGCTATGTTGGACCTAATGGGTCACACACTAACACCTAATTGTCTATATGCTCTAGCATTAAAGGTATTGGGCCTAACAATTGTTATTAGCCCAAGAAGTAGTTTGGAACTCCACAAATAGGGTGGAGGGCGCAAGGATCAAAGTAATGGGCTTGGATAGTCCAAGACATTACTAATTAATTTAATTAGTTAAATTAATTATCAAATGTTTAAATTTTCAATTTTGAATTTGAAATTTGAATTTTGAATTTTAAAATTTGAATTTTGAAATTTGAATTTTGAAATTCGAATTTTGTATTTTGAATTTGAAATTTTAAATTTGAATTTTGAATTTTGAATTTGAATTTTGAAATTTGAAATTTGAATTTTGAAATTTGAATTTGAATTTAGAATTTGAATTTAAAATTTAAGTGTTTGAAAGTTTGAATTCAAATGTTTAAAATTCGAATTTGAATTGGCTATGAAAAGTTGTTTCGTAACAAAAGGATAAGATGAGATCTTGTTGGAACATATCAAGAGGAGATCTTTTGGACATAATCCAAGGATAATGGGGCGCTGATTTTGGCTAGATTTGATCATCAAAATCAGCTCCAGAAGATACGGTCTGTTGGGAGAATATTTGAGTGAGTTGATTTAAGTTTGAAGTGCAACTAACTCAAATGTATCTGGTCACCTTTTAGGCTATATGGGGCGCACCATATAGCTGATTATATGATGATTCATGATCAGATTTCTGACTAGGTTTTGAACTTAGTCTCATGAGAATATTCTGGGATGTTGTTGGCAATTTTTGAAATGCAACAACTCCACTTATTCTCTCCCCATAGGGTGCCACTTTGATCAGATTTTTGGGAGAAAAATCTGACTTGTTTTTGAAACTTAAAAGGCTCCTCTTGTGTACTTAATGTGTAGTTAGTTCCTCCTTAGTTTTTAGTGAAAAGCCAAGTCTTTCTCTACTCATCTATGCGCCCCCTTGTGAGGTTTTCTCTTAGAACACTTCACTCTTCTAAACACTTTTACCTAGCCTCCTGCATCACACACTGAGCGCATAGCAAGCCTTATTGTGGTGATCAATCGGCGGCCTTACTGGAAGGAGTTACTGTATCTAGACGCGGGTGGTGTGGATCAACGTTAGAAGGTCTGAACCCTTCAGACCTACCTTGATCATCTTGAGTTTTCACGAACAAGGCATGACATACGTCTTAAAGTATGTATCTTGGTATGCATGTGTTGTGTTCCGCTTGCGAAAAAGTTTTGTTTTTCCCTCACGCATGTTTCGGCCTCCAAGGCCAATTCTACTTTCAAGTGGTATCAGAGCCCGGTTACTTTACCATAGACGGGTGATGGTACCTTGTTTTTGAACCTGTTTCTCACGGTTAAAATTTCTTTAAAGATTTAAAGATTCAATTTTTATGTATGGATTTTAATTTACAATACTTTAAACGGTTAAAGTTTTGTTTTTGTTTTTGTTTTTTGTTTTTTTATGAACATCTTAATTTGATTGTTGTGTACATATATCCATATGTATTCATGGTTATCATTCTTTTCTTTATGATAGTTTTAAAAGGAAACACATTTTTGAAAGGTGGAGTTCGACCATTAAAGGTGTTTAGAACACCTTGATTGTTTTCTTATTTTTCATGAATTGTTTCATGAGCAAAGCATGTAATGAATTTTTTTGAGAATTAATCTCATATACATTAGTATATGGTTCAGCCATCAAGTGCAGATGGCTACATGCATGGTTTAAATTTTATGTTCTTTGAGAAAGAGTCAATAAAATTTGAGTTATATTAATGGTTGTATATAATTCGGCCAATTGAGAAATCTAAGAAAATTTTAATTTTAATTTTTTGTTTTGATGTTTAATTGTTAAATATCAAGATATATGTGAAAAACATATTATATGATAATATTTTGTACTTGTGAGTTGTCTAACATTTCAGGTGCAAAAGAGGAAGGGGATGGTCATGGTGCCCGAAGTTTAAATTTTGAATTTTAAAATTAATGTGTAATTTTTGCTCTTTAAATTAGAGTTGTAATTTGATTTTTAAATTTTGTATTTTAAATTTTGTCCCTCCAAAATGTTTTGGAGTTTCTTTAATTGTAATCTATGAAGCACCGACTCCGACACGACGTTTTCGATACGTTCCAAATACGTTCTCGATACGACCATCAATTCGTCGATACGATACAATACGTTTTCGATACGTTCCCGATACGCGTATCGGATACGTTGG